CGCAGGGGCCGGGCCGCGGAGTCGGGGCTTGGGCGGACAAAGGGGGGCGCCGGGGGCGGCTGCAGCCGGGTGAGCAGCGCGGGACAGTCCTAGGCTCTGGCAGCCCGGCCCTTGGGGACCGTTCTGAGCAGAGCCCCGCTTCGGGGTCTCTCCTGCTCCCTGACAGTCGTCCGCGGGCCCGCCGGCTCTGGCCCCCACCCCGGGACCTCCCCCGTGGTCTGGAGCGGCTCTGGCAAGGCCCTTGGTCCGGCGCTAACGAGACACCTGCTTGAGTGGAGAGGAGAAAGGGCTGTTGGGCCCTTCTCCCCGGCCACAGGGGTCCTGCTTGCTTGGGGCACCTGCGGTCCAGGCCTGCCTGGATAAGAAGGGAACTGCTGCTTCTCGGGTCAGGCCTAGAGCCGTCCTGCACCAGCCCCGGCCCTTTGTCCGCTCAGGTCTCCTGGCAGAGTTTCACTGGGCAGTGTCCACTGGCTCCTTGGACTCATGTGATTGGGCACTGTCCAGTGTGCTCTGCTCAACGTCCTCCCTTGGCATACTAGTTATTAACCTCTGATCTCCACTCCTGTCTGTGTTGTCTTTATTATTTGTCCCAGGGAATTAGTAGCATGTCACTCGTGGCCCGCATTACTGGAGGGGGCTTATAGTTCACTTGGTGGTCCTGGGCCCGTGACTCCCATTGACATGTTAACTCTTGTCTCCGGGCAGAGTTTCACTGGGCAGCGTCTGCTGGCTCCTTGGACTTGTTTGAGGACCAGTGGGTGCTGTCTGGTGTGCTCTACTCAGTGGTGTCATGTATGTCCCTCTCCCCTTCCCCCCCCTGCACTTATTCTAATCCTATGCCTTCCATTCCTGGCCCTGTTATGTTTTCAGTTGCCCCAAGGAATCAGTTATTTTTTAGTGATCTCTCTCTTAAGGGAGGCTTATAGTATTACCTGGTAGGCCTAGGCCCACACCCAATGGCATAAAAATGATTGGTTTTCTTTTGGGTGTTTGTTTGTTTATTACAAATAGACCTGTGTCATACAGGGGCAGAGAGTGGATGCCGAAAGGGACAACAAACTGGGTGTGACTAGGTTTTTTCCCCCCACTGTTTCTTTCTCACTTGCAGCCTTCAGCATTTAAGGTCTAGGAAGTTTTACTCCAAGAATTTGTCCAATTTCTTTTTGAATCTGCATGCTGTCAGCTTCCTCAGCATGTGTTGGCCATGAGCTCCACACTTGAATGACAGGCTTCGTGGAAAAAAAGAACTTTGTTGTGTTAGTTTTAAACTTACTACTTGCTAGTTCGATTCTGTGACCCCTTGTTTTTGTATTGTGAGAGAGTAAATAATAAATCCCTATTTACTTTCTCTTTGCCATTTAGTATTTTGTAAACCGTTATCATGCCCCCTTTTTCTAAACTGAATAGGCCTAGCCTCATCAGTCTCTCTCTATATAGAACCCCCTCTATACTGCTAATCATCTTTATTTCCCTTCTCTGGACCTTATCTAGTTTTTCTATATCTTTTCTGAGATGCAAACAAGAATCAAGGCACCAGAAGGGATAAGTCCAGATTTTCTTGATGAGTTTTGCTTTTTCTCACTTTGTATTCCCTTTTTTCCCCCAAAATGATTTCTGCTTCTTTGAGGAAAAAAATCACTAGCCTTCCCATCAGAGAACTATCATCTCTTCCTACAGGTCTCTTGAAGAGGCAAGAATTGAAATATTTTTGGCACAATTTCCCACTAAAACTGGAGAAGGTGTTTTACAATAGTGGTGAGTTATTTATTCCCCTCATATTAGAAAATACTATGAGCGCGTGTTATGCATAGTAATCCCGCTTCATCTATAGCATATGCTAGATGGACTTCTGATTTCGGCCCCCCCCCAGCAAGCCAAAGGATTTGGTTATCTCTTTGGGTATCTCTAAGTGATGCTGTATGTTGCCTGTTGTCATAGCATGAATTATGCTAGTCATTCATATAAAACATCCCTTATTTGTAAAGCGTATTTTTTTTTTTTTAGAGTAGAGTTCATAACTCTCCATCCTTCTCTGTGATCCGTTTAGCTTTTTTTCATATAGTATGTGAAATTCAAATATGTTGTATATAACGTTAAATATATTTAAGAGATTTTTCCAGAAGGTCCAGTCACTAGTAGCATTGACGCTTAGGTAAGTTTTAGCAACACATTCAAAAGTTAGTGGTTGACTTGCGGATGAGGCTAACCTGTACTGAAACATTCATATTTATTTCTGTTTTCAAATAAATTAGCTGTTATTAAGAATTAGTTAATAATGACATCATGTTATTTTGTGCTTGTAAGCTCCTGTCGTTTTATTGTATGTAATGCAGAAAAGTAAATGTAGCATTAAATAACAAAGTATGGGATGAAGAAATTGGGAGGTGATAGAATCTACTTCTCAAGCATGGGAAAGACTGGCAAAAAGTTATTTGTTTTCTGATTATTGACTTCAGGTGTCAGTGCCTTTCACTTAAGTTGTTGTGTGCTTTTGTCATGTATTGGAGATTCTGGTTGAGATGTACACAGTAGGTGCAGCTACATGTGTGCTTTACTGCAGTTATCTAATATTAGCTCCACAGTAAAGTGTCACTGTCTACACATGTATTGATATTAAGACACAGTAAATAAATTAACTCTGCCATAAGACAGTACTGTTGGGGACAATACTATCTTATGGCATAGTTACTTATGCCAATGCAGTGCATGTATAGATGGTGATAGAGGCTGGCTGGGGTACAAGATTGCTGAAGTGTGGGTGCTACCTGCCATATGGCTTCTCACTTTAGCGCTCTCATGCCCCAGCCAGTCCCTGTATCACAAGAATGTAGGATTGGAAGACATCTCCTGAGTCATCAAGTCCAGTCTCTTCAAGTTGCAGGAAATCTTAAAACAAATATTTATTCAGCTTTGTTCTATCCCTTTGGAGATGCAGCTTTAGTAAAAGAAAAGTAAAATGAAAGAACAGGCTCTCACAATGTTTTATAGAAAGAGAATAGGAGAGACAAGGAGAGTACCAAAGCCTTTGGGGTTCCTGCAGTGGTAGGGAATTAGTTAGGTAAAATACACCCAGATGAAAATTTCTTCTTGACCCCAAATCTCGTGATCTGTTTAACTGTGAGTGTGTTAGCAAAATGCACTAACCAGGCTCCTGAGAGGTTACCATTTGGCTTAGGTGCACTAGAGCCCTATATCC